GTGTTGCCAACGTTTTAGCCAGCGATTTACAAACGTCATCTCGAGTTTCGTTGTAGTTGTTGTTTATTGCCGAAATTAAAGCGTACAAGTTCGCTGATAAACTTCTGATATCCATTTGATATAAAAGCGTTCGTTATTAGTTTGTAAGCCGAAAAAGATATACTGTATTTTGTCTTATTCTGTTTGAATTGATTTCATATGTGATAACAGAACTGAGTGGATCATCACAGTTCCATCAACTTGCGTTGTCCCTTACTGTTTGATGCCTTATATGGTCATTTAAGAAAGGAATTGAGTTGACTTCTGTGGGCCTCTCAGAGTTTCCATTTTCTTTTAATATAAACTATCAGTTATTGCATTTAAACATATATAATCATGTCGTACATCTTTTAGATTTGTTCTGGTCTAATGAATTGCTTGATTGATCAATACCTTGATGACCGAGCAGCCACAGATATCATCACCTCACGTCTTAGGATTATGTGTCCAACGCTATTCACATCGGGGGACGCCGCCGCTGCAAAGGTACAGTGTTCATAAAACTGATTGAGCTCGTCTTTTTAACTTCATAAATTATGTTGCTGTCTGTTAAAGAGGGATTGTTTTTCTTTATGCTGTTTCATCTTTGTTTGTTTTAGCAAGATTTATTTAATGCATATCGGCGTTTTTAATATGAAGCAGTTCAGTAAAGCTTTATGAAAACAATTCATTCTAATTCGCTGTTACATTCATGAAGTGTTTATTCTGGTGTAGTGAATTTTGAAAGTTTACTGCTTAAAAATTATCGTCACGGAATTATTTTAAATTAGATATAAACTGAGTAACGATAATGATTAGAATAACATTCCCACTTGCAGTGTAGAATAAGTGGGAGGTTGGCTGAGAGAAAGGACTTTGTGCCGAATGTAAGCAAGCTTGCCGACAGCATTTTCCGCAGCGTGAGGCTCAGTAATCGAGCAATTTTAGACCTGGATGCACATGCTGCATGTCATATTATCATTCCTTTCGATAGCAGAGTGGCTGCGAAGCATCGTGTCCCACTACCAACGAATTTTATATTTTGGAACATATCATGTCATATTTTGCGCAAGGGTGAAAGATCGCGAATCTGAGATTACGCCATGCATGATTTCTGCTTGTTGTATTTGTTGAGATCATCATCTTGAGTCATTTGCGTCAGCAGAACGTCGCGGATTTCCGATGTTCGCTATATTCGCAGCTTTCCATATATTTGCTATAAGACGCCGGTTGCTGCATCCTGGAAGGTAATATTCCTTTTTGAGAGTAGTTATTGCTCTACGTTGTTCTTTCATGTTGCACGCTGACCTCCTGGTCTATGTATGTCGTGTTTCGGCCTCCTCCCACACGAGAAACTCATTGCCTGGAGCAAAGGGTACATGTTCAACCAATCTGTGTAACAGTGCCAGCTGCTTTTTTAATCTCGACGTCCATTGAAGTTGCTTGTGTCCGGAAGAGCAGAGTCATTCCTTAGGTGATGCTGCTATATTTGACATTCATTATACATCAAAGCCAACGCTGCTGTACTAAGTTCAGAAGTTGTTCTTTGTCCTTCGTTAGAACAACAGTCTCCATAACAGTTCTGACCTGGCTGAGGCAACATTCAGGTAAATTTTTTTGGGATGGATTACTCATTTTTATGTCCAAACATTGAGCAGGTTTCCAAAGCTCTCGATACTAGAACAATCCTTCTATTTAACTGTGATTTGATTGTGCCTTCTTTCAAAATTTTAGCCGAGGTACTTAAAATGGCCCACTTCTTGCAGTGTGTAACTTTTCAGTGTCACTTATAAATCAGCTGTGCCGAATGGGTTCTTCATAACCGTTGTCTTCCGGACGTTAAGGAAAGGTAAGGTTTTCCCCGCTGGCATGCATATGAAAGCTATAAGGCGACAGAATCCGCTCCCATTTTTACCCTCCATGACTATATTATTATCGCATTCCGAATCTACAAAATCTCTAGCTGTAAATCTTAAGCTGCTCTTTCACTAATGCTATCTTCTTACATGTACATCTCTACTTATACTGCTGAAATTTGTCTATGCTGCCCACGTCTACTTTCACTGCTGTATCATCTCATATCACGCCACCATCTCAATCGGTACTCGTTACTAACGCCATCATGCCGATGTTGCATTCAAGCAATTCGAGGGCTGATATTTCAGTTAGCAACAGGTGTCTTATCTATGGATGTATGGAACACGCGTTCGATAACGTAATACTCCATCTCATTGTTTCCTTCTTGTTTTCTTTTTTAGTTTTATATAGTTGATTAACCTTGCTTGAATGAGCAATATAATATACGGCACCCTGGGTTATTTGGCATCTTACCTGATTCGCACCATTTGTTTCCACCTGAGAAGGTAAGCCAGCGATTTATACCTTTGCTCATGGATCTGTCATGTAACACTGTTTGTCGCTGCTGCTGTATTGATGTGGCCTCTCAACTTATAAACAGCATCTTGTGGTTCGTTACTTAGCCACGCCAATAATATCCTTATAAGGTTGCGCAGACATTGTTGCTGTAAGGTATTCTGGCGGCAATCGCAGATTATTACTTCGTTAATAATGTTAATCGATTGGACGAAGTCTCGCTGCACTAAGTTAGCATTCGCTTTGTTTTCTATTCCTGTTACTCGTATATGACAGCATATCTCTAGCAGAAATCAAATCACATCACATTGATTGACGCTTCGACTCATCCCGACTAGAAAGAAACTAAGCTACTGTATTTGAAATTTCTGACCTATTATCTAGTAGTTTGTTTTCGTTGTAACGCTTATTTTTCAAGCTGAACCTACTTGAATTTAACAAACTTAAACATTCATTTGTAGCAGTTAAGAGCAGCTAGTAGGCGTTGATTAATGTCTTTCTTAACTGCTTTAATTTTCAAATAATTTAATGCTTTTGATACAGTTCTTTCTGTAAAAAGATTTTGGTACCATCGACGTATTCACTGATTTAAAAATTTACTGCTATGTTTTTTTTCTGGTTAAACCGAGACTTTACAGGCTAGTGAACTATTGCAAAGCTTGTCCGACGTCGATAACGCCGTGAGACGCAATCAAATTCTTGCTCAAGCTGTCGAGCTTTACTGCTCTGCGGCCGATCACCTAAACTTGCCTTTGGTTTGCCTCCGTCTAGAGCAAAGTGGCAAAACAAAATAACAGTGTATGGGTGTCATTTTTAAAGTATTTTGATTTAGTGCATTACTATTCCGGAATAATTGACCTGGCATTGACGGCGGCCGCCAAGATCGACCCGTTTAATTTAGGTTCACAGTATCTGGCAGACCCGGAAAATAAGGGACAGATTCCGGAAATCCGAAACATGTACTCTCGGCGGTAGTTAGGTTTGATTGTTAAGAAATCTCCATGTTATTTGTCCAGTTTAGTACTTCATGTTACAAGTGCATTACGGATCTTTTCGACCGAGTCGTCAGCACGCCGGCCAGCGATTTGCCAGTGCTGCGTTCAGACTCCCCTAACGAACAGGTATTTCCACTATACTTAAATCTGCTCCCTTATTCGGTATTTTTTTTTTCCAGCTGGAGTCTTTGGTTCGCAAATGCCTGGCTTCGAAGGACGAACTCTGTCATACCGCAGTATTCGACTGGATGATGGAGCGCAGTTTCAGCGAGCAAATTCTGAAGGTACTTACCAAATTCTTCGGTCACTTCTGACAAGATCGATGCTGATTTGCCGAGGATACTTTGCACTTATTTGTCTTCTTTTTTTCTCGTCCTTAGCTTAATGGTAGATTTTTGAAAGACTCGAAGATGGAAGAATTCCATATTTCGTCTGAATTACATTTGATAAGCTCTGTGACGGTGCATAAGATTGTCGTGAATCAGTCGCAAGCTGGAAATTTTCGGTGATTTTCCACTTGTATGGTAGTTTGTTACATTATTCAGGCACGTGCGAATGCGGTTTAGCATTTTACACTTTTCTGAAAACGTGGAATTCAAGTTGTTCAGCAGTTAGTCCAAGATGAGGATTTTATCCTGAAGGCTGAATTCTTCCTGTTCGTCTTTTCTTCATTCCTTCGTGATCTAGTTCTTTTGCTTTCGTTCAGAGGGGTTTGCGGGAGTACAGCGAAAGTTTTTAAAGGTTTTTGTGAATTGGCAGCTCCTGTTCTTCAATTGCCTTCTCGTATTCGCCAAGCATTGTGGTCTCTCGTCTAACATATGGTTGTGTGGCATTCGACAGTACTGGTAGCCAAGGGACTGGTGTTGACCTAACCGTTTCAGTGTTGATGCTCACGGCGTCATGCAGTTTCCGGTCGACTAGTTTCATGTGATTACTTCGCCCTAGTAAGGCGATGAATACATTCTGCTGATGAATATACCTGCGCCGAGATCGTAGTTCAGAGCAATT